CGTTTACCTGAGCGTGGGTTTACGCAAACCCATTCACTGGATCTTCGTTGTTGTAGATGTTTCTTTGCCAATCATTGGTATTGACCTTCTACAACACCATTATCTAATCATCGACACGCGCGAACGGAGGCTAGTAGAGAGAAACACCAATTTTTCCGTTTGCGTAACCTCCTTTTCTGGTTGCAGATTATCCCCAGTTACAATTAATCAAATGATAGACCCACTTTATCAGCCACTACTCGATAAGTATCCTGGGATACAACAAACTCAACCGAAACTACCGTGTGTAACCAGCAACGTTACACATCACATCACGACTACAGGACCAGCTGTATTCTCTAAAGCACGACGACTAGCTCCTGAAAAGCTGAGGTTGGCGAAAAACGAGTTCGATCACATGATGGACTTAGGAATCATACGACCGTCAAATAGCCCATATGCATCTCTGTTGCACATGGTCGCCAAAAAGGATAGCAACGATTGGCGTACAACTGATGACTATAGGCGATTGAATGAGAAAACCATTCCTAATCGTCATCCGTTGCCTCACATTCACGATTTGACAGCTACTTTGAAAGGTACAACTGTCTTTTCGAAAATCGACTTGGTTAAAGCGTATAACTAAATCCCCATGGCCACAAACGATACACCGAAAACCGCCATCATTACTCCCTAGCATTCGTGCCCTCTGTTTGGCCATGGAACTTCGCAATTGGAAATTAGGTAGGCGGTGGTCAAAAAAAATAATATTCTAGTGGATAGTGGTTAAGCAGAATGATTAATTTATAGTTGACAGTTAATCTTGTATCGCTTATACCAGTGGATAAGTTACAAAGGGATATGCGTTCGTGTTACCTTGTGGCTATACTCACGAGTGGTTGATATTTTAACAGACATATTACACAGAAGCATTCACATGCTGTTAATGCTTGTTAAAGAACCACGATAGCCGATTATAAACGTAGTTGATCAGTTAGCTCTATCGATTGAACTAATTATTTAGGTTTAAATGCTAATCAACATTGACATGAAGCAACGAAAGTTCACTGTAATAGATTAACATAGGCGATGATAAAAATGAAAGAGAATAAGTATAGTATGCAATAATAAAGGTTATAGTGATAGGTTGCGTTATTCGAAGTCTTGTTCACCAGTGTAGATCGTCAACGTAGATGATCTATGTCGAAATGATTGGAGGCCTACTCGAGTTGGACAGAAATACATTAGTTAAAGTAGATACAAGCGAAAGTGAGACCACTGACGAGGATCGATGATTTGCTTGATATTCAATGACCCGACTGCCGGATGATTTGGCTAGGGCTTAGTGACAATTCGCTGGCCCTACAACACAATCGAATTCAGTCCAGCTTCTGAAACGCTTGTTTAGTATTATACGTCGAAACACCACGCTTATGTCGGCTGAAATATCTCTTGAGTATGATGCACTACAGACAGAACTGGGCAATTGTAGAAAACAGTTATTCATTGCCACACTTTAATAACTGAACTGTTAAGTTATTCTTAATATACTGTATTCATGACCCTATCTACTTTTAGACAAAGACGGTGAGGGCTAGCTGAACAATCGGTATACCAGACCAAGTTGATGTGACCTTCCAATGGCTTACAGCATCTTATATACTTTTGAATATTCTCTCAAACACCTACTTAAACTTATTTCCGTCACAAAACTCAGAGGTAACACCCAGAAACTGGAGACTCTACACGGTAGAACGGACTGAAGATACACTTTCCATTCCTTAAGGGTAACCAAATGCTGGTATTCACTGTCAACTGAGGTAATCCAAGGGACTTCCCAGGAGTTTGTTAAAAGAAAACTTGGCATATTCTTAAGGACTAAATATAGTATCTTAATATGGTTTGGCTTTTTTTTTCTTTTCCTCTTTGCCGATAATATACCGAGGTTCCTGAATGGAGGTGATGGTGATCTATATCGCCAGATCTATACAAAGAGCGTTTAGAAAGTTGAAACTCTTTACTCCATTCCATCGCAAACTAAGGGGAGATCTAATTTTGATGTACAGAAAACTGGCGAATGATTTTCGACCTAACTTACTCTCTTTCTTCCCATTAGATCGAGACATCTCAGAGGACATAGCAGGCGGGTAGAAAAGCCAAGAACGGACAAAATACCCGTAGCATACAGGTTTCCACACCAAGTCATCAATACTTCGAATCTGTTATCTTAAACATTGATGTCCGCACCTTCAATTGACTCATTCAAATGAAGATTGGACATTCATAAAAGCACACTAGAAGGAGGAATAACATAGGCCGTAGGCCTTCTGTCCTTGCTACACAAATCTGAATTTGAATTATTTGACTGGGCGCCTCATATTTTAGCGTTCAAGGTCGTTGGAACAAAACGGCGAGTGTTTTTAGTGAACCTGACAATGCTGACATACTTACTTAGTAGGTTCTTCTGTTCACCGTCTCCCAGATGGGGTCCAACAGGAAACGCCTAGAAGCCGCAATCGCAAGGCTCGATCGGTTTCCAGCGGTAAACATAACCCGACCTCACAGGTCGTCGATGACCCCACAAAATCCAGCACTTGGTTTGACGCAACTGTTGTTGCTTCTACCAGCACCGTTGACGAATGGGTACAGGTTGTAAGGAAGAAAAGTAGGAATATAAAACGTAACCCTGCTCCCGTAAAAGTAGTTGAAAAATCGAAAGCTGATCATAGCGACAGATCAGCTATTTTTCATGGAATCAAGGAGAGTGAGAGCTCTGAACCTGAAGCTGGTTTTGAGCATGACATTGTACCGATTAGGCAGCTTCTTTATCAACTCATGCCTCAAAATGTCACCGGGGTCACCTTGACAAAGGTGTACAGATTAGGGTGTCTAGCGGACTTGAAACCAAATCATTCAAGACTGCTCAAAGTAGTATTCAACTCTTCGAACGAACGTGACTTAATTTTACAGAATGGACACAAATTAAAGGGTTCAGAAGTCTTTATGCGAAAGGACTTACCGTTGGCAGACCGTGTAAAAAGACGAGAAGCCGGAAAACAACTACAACTTAGGTTAGACGCTGGCGAAAAGGACCTGAAAATTGTAAATTTTCGATTTGTAAGGCTTCGACAGAGAATGATGCCGAAACTACTCTGGGTGAAGCACGAAGGCACTTAAACAGGCTTTGCATCTGTTACACCATTGCCCGAAGCTTGCTTAATAAGCGATCGGAACTAGGTGTACAGATTGACTCTACAAAGCCAGACATAATCGCAGTCACAGAAACCTGGCTGACACAGGCTATAGATAGTATGGAACTTGATTTCGACGGTTTTATGTTAGTAAGGGCCTACAGAACACAAAAGCGCCCAACATAGCTTTCTCCACAGGAGCAGATGAATTCGTAAATACACATAGAAGTGGTATAACCAGGTAACTTAGATCGGGTCAAGTACGATAGACGTCTGTCGCACTGAACTCCCTATCCACAACTCATTATCTGAGTAATCTTGCATCCTTATGATGCTCTATCCTGGTCCTCACAAATTTAAGTCTCTGATGCTAGTCAACATACAAGTTATAAAACTGAGTTTAAAACCAGCTTATCAAGGAAATTATTGTGTTCATTATAAAATTTTACCTGGATTTCGTAAATTCTTCTTCGAACCTTTTGTACTGTAAAAACATACCTTCCGTATTTAGGCAAAATTTTACATATTTGTGCAGCCTATTTTTGTGGTTCGTTCATTACAGGGGGAAATATATTGTATATATTAATTATTACAATTAATGTATATAAACAATACAACTGTCTAAGACTACTAAATAGATTTACAAACTGAGTTGTAAATCTTGTTGACGTCTTTATTATTGTTGGGGACGTTAGATCCCCAGAACTCACTTGGGAAACAACCTAATTTTGTAATTTTATTTAAAAAATTTGAGTTTCTTTGTTTTCGTGCCAAAGGCGCTCTTGTCACCTTCATGTCGTATTTCCCACTGGGAAATATCTTGAATGCTATTGGTCCGTTGTGTCATTTAGTATGCTATTTGGTCATTCTCCCCATGGACGGTTTTGCACTGTATATACAGGTTTGAATTGTGTTTGTTGTTATCGCTCGTCTCTGGGTTTTTTTTGCAGAATATACTTTCCATTCCAAGCTTGGACTTCTCCCTCTAGTTAGTGGGGCTGAGACGCATCAATAGCTAGCTTACTGGTCTTGGTCACCGAGTCTTGTTTCTCGTTCGCAGATTAAGTGAATTTGTGATAGCTTCAAACCAAGCAATTATTGAATTAAGTTGCCAATTATAAAAATAAATAAAAAACTGTTGGACATTCAGTTAAAGTTTTTACACTCCCATGTAGTAGGTAAACCATGGACGTGTGATTTAAAAAACTTATTTATCATCAGAATAATAGAAAGTGATGATAACTCATTTATAATTTTAAACAAATACAGTCATAACAAAAAACACATAGTGTACCTTCATTATTTATTTTCTTTTACAATCCGATGAGGCCAGTTAGTCAACTACAATGTAGGACCAGGCACATATATGCATCGATCCAAGTTGTCATACCTCATTAACACAACAAGATGAACACTGGATTCATAAAAGTAGTTAATTCAGTTGTGGTAATATATAAAAGAAAGATTACAGCAAGGATATAGTACAGGAAGAAAGAATTAGTTCGTAGAAAGAATGAAATGAAGCGATTTTAATCTCTTAGTTTAAGGGAAGACAGAGAGTGTATACACCGACACCATTGTGGTATGGTCGCCGGCATCCGATGGGGTAAGTGCTACTTTGACAATATATCTACTTTTATACTTGTACAGTAGAATAACTATGTGTATTTATTTAACTATCGTCATCTGAGATGTGGTTGTTTCAATAAGACAGCACTTTACTTGTCCGCCGACTGTAATACACACCACTTAGTGTTGACGTGGACTGTACACAGTCATTTTGTAATACATAGAATATTTTACGAAGTAGTATTTTTCTAACTTCTATTTAGCATATCACAGAACAAGAATACCAAGAGAGAAATAAACGTCTATGGTCTATTTGGTTACAAGCATACAAAGTACGTTTAAAAATAGATTTCGAAGGGAATCATGATAATACCAAAACACAATTCTCTGAACGTTTAAATTTAATGCAGTCTGTAAATCCTCGAGTAGTTCTACGCAATTATCTTGCCGAAGAAGCTATTAAATCAGCTGATAAAGGAGATTATACAGTTGCACAACAATTATTCAACTCATTGACCACACCTTTTAAAAATCCTGATATGTCTTTGAATAACGAGGTAAGCAGTAAAAATGCCAATTTACGTTTACTTGTTTTTAATCGAATTTTTCATCCATTCATCAAAATACCATTGATTTCAATTGATCACGGTAAAAACCAATGTCAATTTTTCCTGGCTCTTAGTGCGAATCAAGTCATTTTTAAACCAGTTCGCAATGTTGTCACTCGTTTAAATGACTCGATATCGAATGTTCTGTATTTTGACGTTGTATGTTTATCAGTAGTCAGTATGTAACTGTGCATCACGAAGAATATTAGGACAATAGTAGTTGTAGTGTCTGTAACAGTAAAAATACATTTGACATAAACAATGATTTATGAGAGGCAATAATGAATTCACTAGAAGGTCTGAAATTATTTCGAAACTCTGGATCTAAGAGAAGACAAAATAGTGAATGTATCTGCATTGTTGCTATTGGTTACTGGTTATATCACCTAACGCCTCAATTGGTCGATTTTCCACTTGTAGAATAATCTTTAATTGTTTAGTTCTATTTAAACTAGCCGTTGATTATCCTGAATGACAACTAAAATTCTGCAATTAAGCTGCTACAACCTTGGACTCCAGCGCCTATAAAATTATGATCGTGAAACATAAGTCTCTGTCATCCCATAGCTAAATAGATTTATTTACTAGCCATATCATTTAAAATTTTACAAATATTATCAAATCATGTACATTTATGTAACGCGGTATTATTTTACTTTCGGAAAATATCTTTCCTTTTTTGTAGTCTTTTCATCTTGTATCTCGGATTAAATACCGTCCTCCTGATTGGTCTCGTAAACTACGTGTTTCTTGTTCATCTTAACAGATAATAACATGTAAGCTTTGAAAATAAATATCCATCCATAGTGTATTTTAATATCTTGCTTCAATATACGATACTCCCAGATGTTCAACAATTTGGTTTTAAATTTCATTAACAACTACATCAAAAACACTAAATATTATACCTTTGTTTTATACTATCACTCATTTGTGTCAAGTTACTGTGTTGTTTAGGAGCTTTATTTTGTTAGTTGACTTCCGATTCTGTTGTGCTTCCAAAAAGAAAAGAATATGTTCTTGATTTGTGTTGGGGTTTGTGTGATCATGCCGTTACTACAAAATTAGTTGTACTATCTAGTTTGTTAGTTGATTAGTTTGTCCATATTTGTTTTAAGACCAGTGACCTTCTTCATCAAATTGCATAACAACTAATAAACAATAATCAGTAACTTAACACCTAGTGTCCTAATGGGAAAGTGAGGAGAAAAGGTAAATTCATTCTCTCTTCACACTCAAAAAGTATACTATAGTATACCTCGAAAACTCGATTTCACAGCATTACAAATAGAAAATTACCACTTATACACAACCCAGTCATAAGTGATACAAAAATAGAGTAATGAAGACATAATTGATTAGTTGTGTCTAATACCATAGGGTATATAGTACGAGTTTGTAGATTAGGCAAAAGCTAACGATTAGTAGAATATAAGAATCCCATAGTCCAAACTTCTATTAACTATACAATAAAAGTATGAGCAACTGTTTCTCGTTTAATAGTTTTCGAATCCAATCTTCCTGAAATCCTCTTCTAAATAACACGTTCATATTAAGGTCAGTAGTTACAGGAAGCTACACATATCAACAGATACAAAGCACACTCTTACACTTTATTACATAGGACTTCGATAGTCCACTTTTTTCTTAAAACTAAACACTTGAAATACGTGATTGTTTTGATTCTTGTCCACTACATATTTTTCTACTCTCTTCTAAATTTGACATGGCAGCATTCGTGTAACCTGCATATATTTGTACTACCGACACATTATTAAACACCGGTCAAGACGCATTCACATGAGCTCATTAGACCCTAAGGATATCATAACGCCTGTATCAGTAATGAGTCCTCCAGCTAATTGGATACTCTATTCGTTAATAGTAGTGACTATTGTAGGTAGCCTATAAATTACAATGATACAAAACCAGTTTCTCTTCGACTTGAAACAATCCAGTATCTTGATGTATATCTAGTTGCTCTCGACCAAGTGTGCTTCATCAAGTTTGCCTTGAATTTGCCCATGTTGAAAAAATAAGTCCCATTGACACCCAGAACAGTCATTATTAGTATCTTGTTCATATTGTTCAATATGTCGCGTGATGGCTACATAGAAACGGAGATACTATTTTATTGAACCATAGACCATTCCAAGGCTGTTGTGGCGATCTCGTGTTATCGACAGAATACCGAGATCGTGCCAGGTTACAAGTGTGGTTACTGAGCGTAACCGAATTCGTGAAAGGTCACAATCAACGGAAGAATGTATTTATTTTGGTACAGTTAAACAATCTTTGGTACAATTTGTTATAATAATTGTTTCCATTACACCAATCGCGTTCTCTTGATAAAAGTAGGTCAACACAGCTGTTCAGGGAAATCTGATGAAAGTTATTTCTACCCAGTGTTTTATAATTAAACATTGGATTAAAAAGCTGAAATGTTGAGAGTGTGTTTAGTTTGTGCTTATTATAACTATTATTAACCGCAAAACTTACGCATAAGTGTTGTGAAAGAACGTCTTCGGGTTTCGTCATAAATGCATTTATACACGAGAATTTCAACAGTGTTTACATAATATCTACAATATCTTAACTCGTTCTGCAATGTTCAGATGTTTATTGACTTCATGTCATATTGTTTTAATAAATCTTTGTGAAAGTGAATCGTAATAAGTAGTATTATATGTATTACACATAGACTTTAAAATACACCACCATTGTGCCAAGACTTGACAGTACAATAAGAGTTGAAGCAATAACAGTTTTGAATATGAAGATGAGAGTTTTAATTAATAATAAAAGATCATCAGATATTGATCCATAGAGGTCTTATATATGTGGCAAAGGTAAAACGAATCTAAGAAGTCGATTTATTTAAGTAAGTGTAATACGAGGTTTCATCTTTCGCCAATTAAGAATTCTGGAAGATTAAAATATCTTCGGTGTGTCAATCATAATGATAACAAATAAGGGCATAAGCGGACTTGGGATATTTTTATGAAAAGTTCGAAGGTTCCGCTTCGCTTCACAGTCAATTAAATAGAAACGGTACCTGCATAAATCATTGGTAATATTTCAAAAGAGTGTTTAGCAAATTACGAAGAAATTTTATTTAGGTCCTCAGGGTCGATATAATATTTTCCTAAGTGTTCAGGATGTGGAATGATATCATCGGGTACGAAGGGAGTGAATGCCGAAGAGTAGGAAATCCCATTCATAAGTCGGTAAAGAACGATCAAGTTAACTTTAATTCGCCTAATCCAGAGAGGTTAAAAGCTTTAGCTTACCACAGCTTCCGTGATGATCTGTATTAGCGGAACACTCCGAAGACGTTCCTCTGAATCCTCTTTAAACACCTTCAATTTTCAATAAATCGTTATACCTTGAATTACTGCAGACTAGAATAACATATTCAGCGATGGGTTTGATACATTTCCATGTGATAATCTAGATTCATTGTTAAATAAATTCATCATATGAGCTTTCTTGATTTTAATATTTGGGTTGCTATGTGCTCAGAAAAGCCGTTATACCATGCACACAAATCACGTACAACGTTGGAGAATTTCAGCACATCTTTGTGTAGAACCATATCAAGTTAAGGGCTGCGGCCAATTTAGACGACTACACTTTTGTCAACATTCACTGACAGGCTCCACAATAGACCATTCTCACAATTTGTTTATGGCTCCACAGATTACCGCCGAAACATAGCTATCTCTGATGGAAGTCGAGGATAAATTAGCCACATCAACAAACAGAAAATGTTTGTCGTACTAAGAGAGCACACGTCATTATCAAAAAAGGAAGAGTAACGGGGCAACCATATTTCCTTTCATAGGCTTAGAGTACCGAGATTCAAAGCGGACGATTTGCCTACGTTCTGTTACAGAGGTTTGGACCAACATAAAAAGGAAATCTCACACACCAAATGGGGAAATTTCTAGAGGGTTGTGTGAGACTATCGAGATCTTACCAAAATCAAAGTATAGAACCATCATCGACGTATCTTTGTTGTCCATTTGATCAAAACGTTCTAAGTGGGAACTGGAATAGTAGCGTTCTGTCATAGATCCATGTCTGGAAAGGCTAATAAAGCCTTCAATAGGCAAAACTGGTAACAGCCGTTTGTGTATGAACGACTTTTGATCACACAGCGGTCACGTTAATGGGCCCATAATTTGCAATGACGCTACTTGATCCCGTTTTGAATCCGGGAGCATAAAGTGCTTTCTTCACAGACTGATAAAATCCATAGTCGAAACATCAGTTTGTCAGTCCAAAGCATAATAATGCGGATTCTCTACTGCCATAAATCAAGAACCACCTCGGAATACTGTCAGGTTTGCTATGGTAGGACAGTTTCGGGGTAGTTATAGCCTGAGTGATGTTGGCGAATGTAATTAACTAGGGACAGATGTCAAAACTGGAAATATGTTAGTAGAGGTTTCTGTCTCTGTATTATGACACTGTGAGATACGATAGTTGGAATGTTCACAATACCATGATGGTCGTCCACAATATTAGTGTTAGTTTAAAGAGTATGATTGTACCGAAGAAATTCAATTTCAGGGCGATATTTAAAAAGCCAGCGTGTGGGAATATCTGGGGTTTCCCTACCCAAGACCGAACTGTTTATAACCAAGAGTTACTTGCATCGAAATGATTCATTTCTGAAACATCTACAAGTCGTGATGCTTTCGGTAGCGGTACGTTAGTCTTCTCAAATTTACCTTGGAGGTAAATGACACGTTCGACATCTGTAATAATGCATTCATTTAATTGAAAAACAAGCTTATGTACCATGAAGTTGAAACTTCAACCAACTCATTATAATTGTAGCGATACATAAAATGTGTAGTGACCTGCTTTTATCAAGAGAACGCGATTGGTTTAATGGAAACAATTATTATTATAACCAATTGTACCGATGATTGTTTACCTGTGCTAAAGACAGCCATACTATTACCACTCGATTAATCGTGACCCTGCACAGGTTCGGTAACCACGCCTGCACTCCTTTGGCACGATCTAGATATTCTTTCGATGCCACGAGATCGCCAACAAATACATCTCGACTACAGTCATCAACTGCCTTCTGATATTTGGCTTACGGGGGATTTTGTCGGTTAACTGGCACAAGCTCTCAGTGAGTTCAAATCTAAATACAGTATTGATGACCACATGGAAATTGTTGTTTGTATTCGTGCACCAAACACTTCTATTGAATTCGCTCGTTTGTGTAGGCAGTATGTTTTAAATGATTCACGTTCTGATCACAGTCCGAATGTTATTTATAAGGGTCACTTTCAATATATCTGTGTGTAAAATGCAGATACTTGCTGATCTTATCGAGTAAAAATCACGTATAGACATCCTATTCAAGTATTTTGGAGACAAAGAGAGCATACATGAGTCATATGCTTAGTTACTGACGAGATGAAATTTAAAATATCCCGATTCGTATTGTGACCGTAATAATAAAATATTTTTCACATGGAAAGTGAAAAGAACACCATGCATAATATCACTTTGCAGCAGTAAATAAACTCCGAAGTAAATAGTTCTGTAAGTCTTCGACATTTGACACTGACCGCATTGGTTTTACTAGAATCATGAAGCGCTCGGTTACGCATCCGCATCATATCACGAATGGGTAAGCCGTGCTGCGCATCTCCTACAACTGTCAGCCAACTTAGATCAAATTCTTCCCGAGATATTGATAGCCTACAAAATACATCTTCAATTGTTTCGTGATCATTGTTTAGTTTTC